GGGTCTTTTATGATTCCATATGAATTTTTAGATTATTTGTTTGAGTTCTGTGAAAAAATGCCCTGAGTAATTTAATAAGGAGACCACATTAAATCTGTACATTGTTTTGGGTAGTATAGTCATTTTAACAATATTAATTCTTCCAATCCAAGAACATGGGCTATCTTTCCATTTCTTTAAGTCATCTTTGATTTCTTTTTTTTTACTTTTTCAAATTTATTTTTAATTGAAGTATACTCAGTTACAAAGTGTCAATTTCTGGTGTATAACATAATGTCCAATTCATGCATGTATATGTATATTCATTTTCATATTGTTTTTTATTAAAGGTTATTACAAGATGTTGAATATAGTTCCCTGTGCTATACAGAAATTTTTATCTATTTCTATAACTAGTGGTTAACATTTGCAAATCTCAAACTCCCAAATTTATCCCTTTCCACTCCCTTTTCCTCAGTAACCATTAATTTATTTATTATGTCTGCAAGTCTGTTTCTGTTTTGTAGATGAGTTCATTAGAGTTAAAGGTATACTTTTGAATTCTCTGCAGCTATTCCATTACAACATTAGGAATTTGATAGCCATCTTTTTTTTTTAATTAAGTATCATCAGTTGCAATGTGTCAGTTTCTGGTGTACAACACAATGTCCCAGTCATGCATATGCATACATATATTCATTTTTATATTTTTCATTAAAAGTTATTACAAGTTATTGAACATAGTTCCCTGTGCTATACAGCAGAATCTTTTTAAAATCTATTTTTATATATAGTGGTTAACATTTGCAAATCTCAAACTCTCAAATTTTTCCCTTCCCAACCCCTTTCCCTGGTAACTGTAATATTGTTTACTATGCCTGCAAGTCTGTTTCTGTTTTATAGATGAGTTTATGGTGCCCTATTAAATTTAAATTTTTTTTTGGATTCCACAAATGAGTGATACAATATGGTATTTTTGTTTCTCTTTCTGTCTTACTTCACTTAGAATGACTATCACTAGCTCCACCCATGTTGCTGCAAATGTTATTATTTTATTATTTTTATGGCTGAGTAGTAGTCCACTGTATAAATATACCACAACTTCTTTATCCAGTCACCTGTTGATGGACATTTAGGTTGTTTCCATGTATTGTCCACTGTATATATTTTTGCTATGAACATTGGGGTTCATGTGTCTTTTTGAATTAGAGTTCCCTCTCCATATATGCCCAGAAGCGGGATTGCTGGATTTTATGTTGTCTATTTTTAGTTTTTTTAGGAATCTCCATACTGATTTCCATAATGGTTGCAGCAAACTGCATTCCTACCAACAGTGTAGGTGTGTTCCCTTTATTTCCACACCCTCTCTGGAATGTATCATTCGTGGATTTCTGAATGATGGCCATTCTCACTGGTGTGAGGTGATACCTTATTATAGTTTTCATACACATTTATCTGATAATTAATGATATTGAACATTTTTTCATGTGCCTATTGGCCATTTGTATAGGTTCGTTAGAGAATTGCTTGTTTAGGTCTTTTTCCCATTTTTGGATTGTATTGTGTTTTTTTTGTTTTTGTTTTTGTTTTTGTTTTTTGCTATTAAGTTGTGTGAGCTGTTTATATACCCTGGATATTAAGCCATTGTCAGTCGCATCATTTACAAATATTTTCTCCCATTCTGTATATTGTCATTTTGCTTTGTTTATAGTTTCTTTTGCTGTTCAAAAGTTTATAAGTTTAATGAGGTCCCATTTGTTTATTTTTACTCCAGTTTCTATTGCCTGGGTACACTGCCCTAGGAGAACATTGCTAAGATTTTCCCCAGATATTTTGCATATGTTTTCTTCTATGAAATTTATCATGTCTTATTCTCATATATATATATATATATATATATACAAAGTACAGTTGGTTACATGTCTTGTCTTATATTTAAGTCTTTAAGCTATTTTGAGTTTATTTTTGTGTATAGAGTGAGAGAGTGTTCTAACTCCATTGATTTATATGCTGCTATGCAGTTTTCCCAACAACACTTGCTGAAGAGATTATCTTTGCTCTATTTTATATTCTTGCCTCCTTTGTTAAAATTTAATTGGCCATAGGCTTGTGGGTTTATTTCTGGGTTCTCTATTTTGTTCCTTTGATCCATATGTCTGTTTTTATGTCAGTACCATGCTGTTCTGATTACTGTAGCTCTGTAGTATGTCTTACATCTTGAAGGATCATTCTTCCAGCTTTGTTCTTTTACTTCATTGATGCTTTGACAATTATGGGTCTTTTGTTATTCCATATAAATTTTAGGATTAATTTTCCTAGTTCTGTGAAAAATGTCCTGGGTACTTTGATAGGGACCACATTAAACCTGTAGATGGTCTTCAGCAGTATGCTCATTTTAATGGCATTGATTCTTCCAATCCAGGAGCATTGGATTTCTTTCCATTTTTAAGTCATCTTTAGTTTCCTTAATTAATGCTTTGTAGTTATTCATGTATAAGTGTTTCAACTCTTTGATCAGATTTATTCCTATGTATTTGGTTGTTTTGAATGTCATTTTAAAAGGGATTGTTTCTTCACTTTCCTTTCCTCCTAATTCATTGTTAGTGTGAAGAAATGCAATTGATTTTTGTAAGTTAACCTTGTATCTTGCTGAATTTTTTTATTAGCTTTAGTAGTTTTTCTGTGGAAAATTTGGTGTTTTCTATAAATAGTATCATATCATCCTTATATAGTGACAATTTTAATTATCTTCCAATTTGATCCCTTTTATCTTTTTCTTGCCTGATTTCTGTGGCTAGGAGTTCCAGTAGTATGCTGAATAATATTGGTAAGTGTACGCATCTTCATCTTGTTCCAGATTTTAGTGGGAAGGTTTTCAGGTTTTCACCACTGAGTATTATGTTGGCTGTAAGTTTGACATAAATAGCTTTTATTATGTTGAGATATGTTTCCTCTATACTCACTTTGGTGGGAGTTTTTAATCATAAATTGGTGTTGAATTGTACAAATGCTTTTTCTGCATCTGTTGAGATGATCATGTGATTGTTTCCTTTCTCTTGTTGATGTCATTTATCCCGCTGGCTGATTTGCATACGTTGAAACATCTTTGTGTCCCTGAGATGAACCTAACTTGTTCATGGTGTATAATCTTTTTTGTGTGTTGTTGGATTCTATTTGTTAATATTTTGCTGAAGATTTTGCATATATTTTAATCAATGACAATGGCCTATAGTTTTCTTTTTTGGTAGTGTTTTTGTCTGCCTTTGGTATCAGTGTGATGTGGCTTTACTGAATGAGTTTGGAAGTGTTCCCTTCTCTTCAATCTTTTGGAAGAGTTTGAGAAGGACTGCTGGGAGTTCTTTGTATGTTTGATAAAAAACCACAGTGAAGCCATCTGGTCCTGGACTTTTATTTATAAGGAGGTTTTTATTGCTGATTCTATTTCACTTCTAGTGATTGATATATTCAAATGATCTATTTCTTCTTGATTCAGTTTTGGTAGACTGTATATTTCTAGAAACTTGTCCATTTCTTCTAATTTATACAATTTATTGCCATATTGTTGTTCATAGTATTCTTTTCTGATTGTTTGTATTTCTGTGATGTTGGTTGTAATTTCTCCATTTTCATTTCTTATTTTGTTTATTTGTGTCCTCTCTCTTCTTCTTGATGAGCCTGGCTAGAAGTTTGTCAATTTTGTTTACTCTTTCAAGAAACTAGCTCTCGCTTTGATTGATTGTTCCAATGTTTTAATCTCTATTTTATTTATTTCCTCCATAATCTTTATCATTTCTTTCCCTATGTTGTGTTTCGGTTTTCTTTTTTCTTCTTTTTCTAATTCTTTTAGGTGGTAGGTTAGGTTGTTCATTTGAGATTGTTCTTGTTTTCTGAGAAAGGCCTCTATCCCTAAGAACTTCCCTCTTACCACTGATTTTGCTGCATCCATAAATTTTGTGTGGTTGTGTTTTCACTGTCATTTGTCTCAAAGTATTTTTTAATTTCTTCTTTGATTTCATCCTTGACCCATTGGTTTTTTAGCTGCATGTTATTTAGTCTCCATGCCATCTTTTTTTTTCATTCATTTTTCTGTGTTTGATTTCTAGTGTTATGTCATTGTCATCAGAGAAGAGGCTTGAAATAATTTCTACCATCTTAAATTTATTCAGGCTTCTTTTGTGCCTTAGTATGTGATCTATCCTAGATAAGTTCCATGTGCACTTGAAAATAATGTATATTCTGTTTGGGGGATGTAATGTCATAAAAATATCAACCAAGACCAACTGTTCTACTGGGTCAATTAGTGTTTCCATTGCCTTATTGATTTTCTGTCTAGAAGACATCTCATATGATGTTATGGGGTTTTATTGTTTCCTATTATTATTGTATTCTCATAATTTTCTCCCTTATGTCTGTTAATATTTGTTTTATATATTTAGATGCTCCTAAATTGGATGTATATGTTAATAAGTGTATTATCTTCATTTTGTATTCCTCCTTTAATCATTACATAAGGTCCTTTTTATCTTTCTTTATAACCTTTATTTTAAGGTCTATATTGTCTGATATGAGAATTGCTATTCCTGCTATCTTATCACTTTCATTTGCATGAAATTCCTTTTTCCATTCTCTCACTGTCAATGTATATGAGTCCTTCACTCTAAAGTGGATCTCTTGTAGGCAGCATATTGTACACTTTTGCTTTATTATCCAATCTGCAATTTTACATCTTTTGAATGGAGCATTTAGTCCATTGACATTTACAGTAATTCTTGGTAGATGTGTTTATTGTAATTTTGATCATTGTTTTCCAGTTGACTTAGTATTTCTTCTTTGTTCCATTCTTTTCCTTTTTGTTTTTCTTTTTGTGGTTTGATAATTTTCTTTTGTATTAGCTTGGTTTCTTTTTGGTTTTTCTGATTCTATGGTATGCTTTTGATTTGTGATTTTCCTGTTTTATCAAGTATGTTAACCTCTTACTCTATCCATTTGATTTAGACTACTAGTCATGTAGGCTCAAACACAAAAATTTGGAACCTTTCATGAAGAAATCTGTTATACTTTCACAGGGGCCTTGCTAAACTTCTCTGCATCATTCCAGTTTTAGTATATGTGCTGCCAAAGAAAGAATGCCATAGACTTTTTGTTTGACAATTTTTTTCTCTTAGAGCTTTGAATATCTTACCCAACTGTCTTCCAGCCTCAATAATTTTGAATGGCATATCATTTGTTATTACTGAGGATTCTTCATGTAAGATGAGTCACAATTCTCTTTCTGTATTCAAGGTATTTCTTTATCTTTGTGTTTTCATAATTTGCTTATGATGTGATCTAAGTGTGGATTCGCTATTCTACTTGAAATTCATTAAGCTTTGTGGATGTGTAAATTAATGTTTTTCATCATATGTGGCAAGATTTTGGTCATTTTTTTCAAATTTTCTTTCTGCCTCTTTCACTCTCTCTTCTCTTATTTAGATTCCAACTATACAGTTTTTGATGTGCTTGATTTTTTTCACAAGTCTCTGATGCAATGTCATTTTTTCATTCTATTTATCTTCTGTTCCTCAGAACAATATCATTGACAAACATTTGAGTTTACAGATTCTTTATTCTGCCTGATCATACCTGCTATTCAGTCTCTGTGTTTTTTTTTTATTTCAGTTATTGTAACTTTTATCTTTGGAATTTATTTTTTGTTGTTGTTGTTTCTTTTTTATTTATATATTTCATTTATATTATCTATCTGGTAAAACATCATTCCCACACTTTAATTTGGTAAATGTGGTTTTCTCTAGTTCTATGAAATACTTGAAGTAATTGAGTTAAATAACTCATTAATTTTGTACTATCCATGGAACTTGTCTAAAAAAATTTCTACTAGGATTTTGAAAAGCTGACTAAAAGATTTCACTCATTTCTTCTTCCTTAATTCATTGGAATTCTTCAATAAGGAGTAGCTGTTTCTCTTCTCTGATTTATTTATTCAATGATGTTTTCAATATCAGTATGGACTCATGGATACTGATTTTATTCTTTAGATTATGATCCATATTATTCTCATTTGTTTTATTACTCAAATTGTTTGAGGTTTGACTATTAGAATTTCTTTTATGTTGGCTCCTTTATCTTTTAAAATGTCTTTCTTCTTTTCTATATGCATTTCTTACTTCTTGCTTTTTATCATAAGGTTAATGTCTCACATGGCTATATGCTCCAGGTTTATCTATTTGCATAGCAGTATATGTAGTATAAACCATTTCTGCAAGTGACATTTATGCTTTTTATATCTACTGAGGTTTTACTACCTTTAGATTCTCTCAGAGGACAGAACTACATGTATGCATTCTAACCCATGTATACATACATATTTCTTTTCCATTGCTGATTTAAAATTTTATTTTGGTAAGAACACTTAACTTGAGAGAAACCCTCTTAACAAATTCTAAATTTATCATACAGTATTATTAACTATAGGCACACTATTATACAAAGAAAAATCTTTAGAAAATTTTCATCTTGTACAAGTGAAGTTTTATACCCATTGAAGACTAATTACCCACCTACCTGTCCCTGCAGACACTGCAAACCATGATCTTACTCTCTGACTCTATTAGTTTGACTATTTTAGATAACTTACATAATTGAAGTCATGCAGTATTTTTCCTTATGTGACACAATTATTTCACTTAGCAAAATGTCTTCTTGATTCATTTAAGTGTTCACATATGGCAGGATTTTCTTCTTTTTAAGGGGTGGATAATATTACATTATGTGTATATACCACATTTTCTTCTTTCATTCTTTTGTCAATGTGCATTTAGTTTGTTTCCACAACTTGGATATGTGAATATGTGAATAATGCTGCAGTGAATAAGGTTATGATACTAATTTCAATTCCTTGGAGGTATACATTTACTTTTTTATAAGATAATTTAAAAATATTATCCATTCTAACTGGTGTGAGGAGATAGCTAATTGTGGTTTTAACTTTAATTTATTTGATGATAAGTGATGTTGTGTATCTTCTCATATAACTGTTGACCATTTGTAAGTTTTATGTAAGGAAATATCCATTCAAATACTCTGCCCATTTGTTAATAAGTTACTTGTCTTGGGCTATTGACTTGTAGTTATTCCTTATATGTTTTTATATTAATTATTATAGTTATGATGGTTTATAGTATTGTAATTATTATTGTAATTGATCACCTATAGTTTGCACATACCATCTCCCAATGCATTGGTTGCTTTTTAAATTCTGTTTCATGTTTCCTTTGCTTTATAGAAGGTTTTTAAGTTGATATAATTCCAATTGACTATTTTCTTCTGTGTTTCTAATATCATATGTAAGAAATTACTGCCTACACCAATGTCATGAAATATTTTCCATATATTTTATTCTAGGATTTTTCTAGCTTCAAAACTTGCTTATGTTAAACTCTTAATCTGTTTGAGTTGCTTTTGTGTAATGGTATAAAATAATGGTACAATTTATTCTTTTGCATGTAGATATCTATTTTTCTAGCACCATTTTTTCAGAGACTAACCATACTTCTCATGTATTCTTGGCACATTTATCAAAAAAAAACCTTATATGTGTGAGTTTATTCTGGTACTATTGGTAAATATGGCTGCTATTATGCCAGTAATATGCTGTTTATTTTATTGAGTAATAGTCAGTTTACAATGTTGTCTCAATTTCTGGTGCACAGTACAATGTTTCAGTCATACATAAATATACATAAATTCATTTTCATATTTTTTTCACCATGAGCTACTACAAGATATTAAATATATTTCCCTGTGCTATATAGTATCAATTTGTTTACCTATTTTATACATACATGACAGTATCTGAAAATCTCAAACTCCCGGGTTATCCCTACCCAAACCCCTTCTCCCATAGCAAACACAAGTTTGTATTCTATGTTTGTGAGTCTGTTTCTGTTTTATATATAAGTATATTTGTCTTCTTGTTTTTATATTCTACAGATGAGTGATATCATATGGCATTGTTCTTTCTCTTTCTGGTTTACTTCACTTAGAATGACATTCTCCAGGGCCATCATTGTTGCTGCAAATGACATTATGTTGTCATTTTTATGGCTGAATAGTATTCTGTTGTATACATATACCACTACTTATTTATCCAGTCATCTGTTGATGGACATTTAGGCTGTTTCCATGCCTTGGCTATTGTAAATAGTGCTGCTATGAATATTGGGAAGCAAGTGTCTTTTAAAGTTAGGGTTCTTTCTAGATGTATGCCCAGGGGTGGGATTGCTAGGTCTTATGGTAAGTCTATTTTTAGTATTTTGAGTAGTCTCCATACTGTTTTCCACAATGGCTGCACCAAATTGAATACCCACCAACAGTGTGGGAAGGTTCCCTTTTCGCCACAGCCTCCCAAAATTTATCATTTGTGGACTTTTGAATGATAGCCATTCTGACTGGTGTGAGGTAATACTTCATTGTAGTTTTGATTTGCATTTCTCTGATAATTAGTGATTTTGAGCATTTTTTCATGTGCCTATTGGTCATTCCTATGTCTTCACTACAAAATTGGTTCTTTAGGACTTCTGCCCATTTTTGGACTGGATTGTTTGGGGTTTTTTCTTATTAAATCATATTATCTGTTTATATATTTTGGAAATCAAGCCCTTGTCAGTCTCATATTTTGCAAATATTTTCTCACATTCTGTAGGTTGTCTTTTTCTTCTGCTTATGGTTTCCTTTGCTATGCAAAAACTTGTAGGTCTAATTAGGTCTCATTTGTTTAATTTTACTTTTTTTTTCTATTGCCTGGGTAGACTGTCCTAGGAGAACATTGCTGAGATATATGCGAGATAAGGTTTTGCCTATTTTTTTTTCAAGGAAGTCTGTTGTGTCTTGTCTTATGTTTAAGTTTTTAATCCATTTTGAGTTTATTTTTGTGTATGGTGTTAGGGAGTATCCTAACTTTATTGATTTACATGCTGCTTCTCAGTTTTCCCAACAACATTTGCTGAAGAGACTGTCTTTACGCCTTTGTATGTCCTTCCCTCTTTTGTCAAAGATAAATTGTCCAAAGTTTATGGTTTCATTTCTGCACTCTCTATTCTGTTCCACTGATGCATATGTCTTTTTCTGTACCAATAACATGCTATTTTGATTACTGTAGTTCTGTAGTATTATCTAAAGTCTAGAAGGGTTATTCCTCCAGCCTCATTCTTTTTCTTCAGTAATGTCTTGGCAATTCTGGGTCTTTTGTGGTTCCATGTACATTTTATTATGATTTTTTCAAGTTCTGTGAAAAATGTCCTGGGTAATTTGATAGGGATTGCATTAAATCTGTTGATTTCTTTGGACAGTATGCCCATTTTAATAATATTGATTCTTCCATTCCAGAAGCGTGGGGTATCTTTCCATTTTTTAAAGTTTTTAAAAACTTAATGAAAGAATTTTTTAATAGACTTTATAATTTTAGAGCAGTTTCAGGTTCACAACAAAAGTGAGCAAAAAGTAAAGAACTCCCACAAACCCCTCCCCACCCATACATATATATTCCCCTACCCTCAAGATTCCTCATCAGTGTGGCATATTTGGTACAATCAATGAACCAACATGGGCACATTATTATCAACCAAAGTCCATAGTTTACATTAGGGTTTACTCTTGATATTGTACATTCTATGTGTTTTGAAAAATACATAATGACATGTAGGCAATATAGTATCATACAGAATAATTTTATTGCCCTAAAAATCACTTGTGCTCCATCTATTCATTCTTCCCTACCTCCCTCTCCCCAAACCCCTAAACCATCATAATTTTATTGTTTCTGTAGCTGTGTCTTTTCCAGAATGTCAATTTGTTGGAATCATATAGTTTTCAGCCTATTCAGACTGCCTTTTTTAATTTAGTAATATGTCTTTTAAGATTCTTCTGTCTTACGTGGTTAGATGGATCATTTTTTTAATGCACATTTATTTTTCATTTACATGTATGTACTATTCATTGTATCTAAGAATGTTAAAAGCTTCACTTTTTTATATTTTTATTGATTTATAATCATTTTACAATGTTCTGTCAAATTCCAGTGTACAGCACAATTTTTCAGTCATACATGAACATATATATATATATAT